CACAAGGAGTGGCTGTTGTTGTTCCCTGCATTTCTCCTGCAGCTGTCGGAGGGAGAATACCATGTCAGTGGTACATACAGCATACCCTTACATTAATAGGAATTTTGGTTTGACTGTGGCTCAGTGTCAAGCACATCACTAGTCACATGTGAAATGATCTTAATATACCAATGAAAAATAAGAATGCATACCTGTCTTCTGGATTCTTACTCAAAGCAACTGGATAGATGCCCCTATGCTGCCTTTTGGGCTCATAGGATGGGAGGGACATTAGCCTCTTATGTGGCTTAAGATATACTGGGAGTCCCCTAGTCTCCTGGGTTTGTGGCTCATTATGGCCTTCAGGTTTGACCCAACTCTGGGAGGCAGTGGAAGACAGAAGGGCCTGGCGTGCTCTGGTCCATGGGGTCACAAAGAGTCAGACACAATTTAATGACTAAACAACAACAATGGACTTCAGTGGCTTTCATGTTACTAAATCAATCCAACATAATAACCATTAAAATCCAATTCTGTTTTACAACTCCGTGGTCCAGTTTTATGATCACTATTAAGTTTTGGGTGCTGTAATGGAAAGGGAAGCAGACTCAGCTAATCCTGCTAGTTTTGCTAGACATTCAAAACCTATTTTTGCTGCAGTAGCTCATATCTCTGCTTCAACAGCTGCAAATAAAGCTGGCTAGTAGGATTTTTATTGGTTGATTTTTTTCGTCTATATTTAGGATTTGGTTGCCTGATCAACTATGGTTATAAGCTGTACTTTTGTATAGTGTGATCTTAATATACCAATGAAAAGTGAGAATGCATTCCTATCATTTTTTTCTTTTTGTCTTTTGCTGAATTACTTTGTCTTCTCTTAAGGAACTGCACCATCAAATGTATTTGTTGACGTCCAGTTCTCTCTCTCTCTCTCTCTCTCTCTCTCTCTCTCTCTCTTTTGGCCAGATTGTGTCCCAGTTCTTTTAAGCTTTCTCTTCATTCCTCAATCATCTCATGGTGTAATGTGGGTGGTGGTGGTTTCCTGTTCCAAATTGTGCTTATCTCTTTCCCTTGCCTATGCTTCTCACATCATGCGTAAGTCTTTGCTTCCGGGTATACTTTTGATTTCTTCTTCATGTTTGCTCTTGCCCAAAGCTTCAGGTGGGCTGTCAGTCCTTTCGCCAAATATTTTTACACAGCACCGCAACAAAGCCCCGCCTCCTCAAAAAGCGGAATTAATCCATATTGTTATGGTGGCTGCAAGTTGAAAAGTCTGTAGGTCAAATCTCCATTGACCTACAATGCATTGAAAACCGATTAATCCCATAACCAGCGGTTTTTATTCTATTTTTGTTTCATTTTGGTTTTTTTCTGGTCTGTAAGTCGATTCTCCGGCTGCAAGTCGAATCTAAATTTTGCGGCCAGAGAAGTCTGTAACTCAAAAAGTCTGTAAATCGAGGGTTCACTGTATTAGATTAAATGTTTGCAACATCAAAAGAAACAGCTTTTGAAATGCTAGCAGTTTTGCAAATCTCATAAGGGCCAGCTGATCAATGCTTTTGTACAGAGCCCCTTCAACTGCAAATGGAACCAACTTAGCACTTAAGATTGCATATCTCACCAAAATGGGATAAGTGTTGTTTTGCTTCAAGGTAACTGATTGAATTATAGAAATCAGGAGAAATCTCCAGAAAGTCCTCTATGCAGTCACTACAATTTGAACTCTTCTTTGCATATCCTTGTTCTGTGTTGTGTGGTGGAAGGACAGAAATCTTCCTGATTCAAAGTGATGCAGAGCCTGAAAAAGTAGGATTCATGCTGGCTGGGGGATTCTGGAAGCTGTAGTCCAAAAATATTCCTTGTCCACATTGTAGGGTGCTGGGCCACAAGTGGTTGACCTCTAAGCTGGAGACTGTGTAGAGATGAACATTCCAGAGTGTAGTGATGAGGCTTATGCTCCTAAGTGATTACATCATGTGCTTTCCATTCCTAATGTGTTGCGATATACTATGTAGTTGTTGGAACCAGTTTTTTAAAGAAGACCAGAGTTTACCTTGACTGTCTTTCTAGGGTCCTCCTGGAACAAGTGATGGAGGAGGGGCCAAAGGAGAGCCAGGCATCCCAGTGAGTACATCTCTTGCCAGGCTTTGGCACCACAGAGGTGGATGGAGTGGAGGGGCAAGGGCATTGTTTAAAATGTATTGGTACTGCCTTCAACGCATCAGGATGGGTATATGAAATTATACAGAGGTTAGGGTAAAGAAGTGAAGAATTACTGCTGTCTAATAAGATTGTCAAAGTGCGTATGCTTGGGGTGGACTATATCAATATTATCATCTGACTGCTGGGAAAATATGATTTCACTGAAACAAAATGACTTCATTAGGGGAAAGCATCTGAATTCCTTTAGAAGAGTGTCTGTGAGCTGTTTTACTGAAGAAGACATAAGAGTTCTTCCCCTTTTGTGTGATCTCTGCTTTCTGTTTTTCATTTGCCAGGGTTTGGCTGGAGATCCTGGGCCCAGAGGACCTCCTGGACTCCCAGGGCAAAAAGGTGAAAAGGTAAGGATCTGCCCGTAGGCACTAGGCGAACTAAACTGAGTGCTCCTTTGCCACTTCTAAGCCACCTGGCACAGGGCAAAAAGGTGAAAAGGTAAGGATCTGCCCATAGACACTAGGTGAAACACTAAACTGAGTTCTCCTTGGCCACTTCCAAGCCACCTGCACAGAGTAGAAGCTTGCTGTTGTGCAGATATACAGATTAGCGTGAGCCATAGAGAATGCTGCAGCTCCGCTGCTTGCTCTTAATCACTGGACTGGCTACCTCCTCCTTGGATAGGGAATCCCGGGTGGGTCTCTGTTTCTTGTGGTTAAATGGCTCTTTGTTTTGTGCCCAAAGGGGGAAGGAGAAGAAGGTTTTCCTGGACCACCTGGACGTCCTGGAGAGCCTGGGGATCGGGTAAGCCCTTGAAAAGGAAATCCTTGTTCTTCTCTCCATGGTCTTGATGAGATTTAGATTGTGCAATATCAAGGCAATTTCTCTGTCCTCATTGTGAGAACAAACTTAATAACATCATCATGGGGGAAGCAATTTTAGCTACATAACCTCATCCACAGTATCAGCCTTATCTGTTTATATGTTAAACTACTCCGTAGTGATCCTCTTGTGGAGGTGGGTGCAAGGGTCCTTAAGAGATCTTATAATTCCTCCAGCAAATTCCTCACTGAAATATGATATTCATGCTATTGTTTTCAGGGCCCTAGAGGACCTCCAGGTGAACAAGGAAGCAAGGTAGGTACTCTTGACTGACAAATTTGGAGTAGTCGGTTAGGGTGGGTTGAAAAATTTGCAGCTTGTGATCACTACTTTGAACAGGTCTTTCCCCTACTCAAGACAGAAGGTAAAACTTAGCAGATGAAATGGTCCTCCAGTTCCCTTTAATGTTTTACTAGCATTCTAGTTCTTTTAAGATATTCTTGTATTAGAGTGGGGAGAAAGGCCATATTTACTGATCACCCCCCACTTACTTACCTTGCATCACCATTAGCGAGTCTGCAGCATATCCTTAAGCTCTTGACATGATTTAAAATGGGCGGGGGGGGGGAAGCAAGCTTGAGGACCACTTTTCCACAAAAATGGCTTTTTCATCTTATGCCCTGATTTCGGGAATAATGTCTGAGAAAACCCTACCCTAATCTCACAGTATACACTTTCTTTTTTCAGGACCCGCTGATGTAATAGTGCTTATACATTGGTTGAGGAGAGAAGTCCTTTGACTTATTAGGGTTGATCTTTCCCATTTGCCCAAACATTCTTATCCCCTGCTGAATTACTTACATGTTTTGCTACTGGTAACTCATCTCTTCTTTTCGCAACAGGGAGACCGTGGGCAGCCTGGTTTGGCAGGACCATCTGGAGAGAAGGTGAGATCAGCTGGAGCAGATGTTCCCACTGGGCAGGTCAGAGGCAGAATCCTGTTGAGTCAGGAAGGCAAGGCAAAAGTATTTCTTCAAGTTGCTGCTACAGGGAAGAAAAATACATGCTGTAGATCTCTTCTAATGGATCCTTGCTGGTGTCAGAAATAGATTTTGTTCAGGACCCCACCCCCTGGCATTTCAATCTTCCTTAAATACATGTATGTCCTTTTCTTTGCAGGGAGATCGCGGACCACCTGGACCCGAGGGAGAAAAGGTATGTTCATTTAGTGCTTGTGCTGCTATTCCTAAGAGGTGACTGGATTGTTCGCAAAATAGGCAGTTTATGCTATCCTTTTTCAATTAAAATTTATTTACTTGTGTTATCAGCTGTCTGTGCTCCACATTTTTCTTATTATCCTCCCAACTTTTCACACTACTGGAAGTAAAAAAATGCCCCTTATAGATTGGCACATCAATTTCCTGACACCCACTCTGCTCACCCTGCCTCTCATTGCTGCTTGTTCAACCCATGAAAACTCATTTAAAGCTTCTAGCCACCATTTCTAACCAGCTGTTGGCTAAAATGGCCTTCCTCATAGTCATTACCACTGCATGCTGTACAGGAGAGATCGGTACACTGATGGTAGACCAATCATGTTTGGTTTGGCACTAGGACAAAGTTGCACTTTATCCTGGCCTTTCGTTTCTACCTAAAGTCCTCCCAACCTTTCACCTTTTCTAGGATATTGCCTTACTGGTCTTTTTTCCATGGCCTATGTTGCAATTGGAAATACTCTTTCACATGCTGGACATAATTTATGTATTTATTTAAAATATTTAATTTAATTTAATTATCAATATTGAATTTAAAACAAGGAAGGTCCTCTGCATTTTATGTCCAGCTCCATTTTCAAAGCTGATATGGTTGCTTCTGGCTCACTCTGGCCCTTAAAAGTGACTCCCAGTGATGTTTCAATATCTTGCTAAGTGGATTTTGAAGATGATCAGATTGGTTTATCAACGGGCTAAGACCGTGTTTCCTGCTGTTTCAATAAGTCATTTCACTAGGGCAATTAGCCACCTCCATTACTTCTTTGAAGGCAGTCTGCCTACCTGAATTACGCTGAGCAGTGACTTGTTCCCAATTACCCTCCTTCATCTGACACTATTACCTACAGCAGATATCAGATCACACAGGCATATTTGTTTGGATAAAGTAGTTCTCTTTTCTATGCCAATGGTAGTGAGTACAGGTGCCTACCTATCATCTTCCAGAGACAGATCTTCCAGAATCTCACTGAACCGTATATATGGATGCACAAAAATTACAATGAAGGAAAAAAAGATTGCTTAGCTGTAACATTGGTTCTTTGAATAGTCAGTCATCTGTGCATTCACCTATGGTTCTGCCACTGTAGCACCTGATTTTCCCCCCAGTCAAGGGACAGCTTGCAGACACATACACTTTAGATAGGAGGGATGGTCTATCTTTCCCTATTCAGGAAGTTCCAAAAAGCAGCTTTATGCAGGCACCGCACCATTTGTGTGAACACACGGATGGCCACTCAAGGAACAAAAAAAGCAATGTGTTTTTCTCCACAACTCTTCATCAGGGTGGGTGGTACAACAAACATAACAGAGAGGGAACAACTCAAAAAGTCCTATATATCCAGACATTTTGGTCATTAGGCTTCTAGTTTAGTCCTGGTCTTGAAATAGAGGTCTGGTGAATGTGTTGCTGGTGACTGTTGCAGATAACTGACTACCCCAAAGCGGCACATTCTGAGGTAAAGAAGCAGTGGCTGATTTCCACTTCTGAAAATATAAAGTCCGATTATAATTCAGACTCCCCTATTATGACATGTTCATTCTGTTAATAATATGGGGAGATTCTTAGTTATGCTACTGTAGGCAAGTGAATAAGGAGCTGATTAAACAGAGATGGTTTGTGGGGGGCTGTTCTGTTCTTATTCCTTAATACTGAACCTGAACCTTGTCCAAACCTGGTTCAAAGAAAAAAATATCTTATGGTTGTTGTGAGTTTTTCGGGCTCTTTGGCCGTGTTTTGAAGGTTATCCTTCCTAACGTTTGGCCAGTCTCTGTGGCTGGCATCTTCAGAGGGACAGGAGTTGGAACACTGTCTGTCTCTGTTCCTCTGAAGATGCTGGCCAGAGAGACTGGTGAAACGTCAGGAAGAACAACTTTCAGAACACGACCAAAGAGCCTGAAAAACCCACAACAACCATCAGTTCCCAGCTGTGAAAGCCTTCGAGAATATAAAATATACGGTATCTTCTTTCTGCCAAACCCACTGTTTCTTCTTGTTTCAGGGAGAGCAAGGACCATCAGGGCGCCCTGGTCCATCTGGCAGAGATGTGAGTTTGGGACTCCACATAGAATGAAAACCAATCTAGTTGGGAATCAGCAGTTTCCATTTCAGGGGCTATGTTGACAGTACATCTGAGTGCTTGGAAGTAATTGTCCATATTTGTTTTGAATATAACTGCCCAGAGATTGATCTTTTGTGAGTTGGGAGCAGATGATAATTGGAGTAGGCGCAGTGATGGAACTTGCTGACGTTTCCTTGCCTGCAGCTGAGTTTAGTGTTGGAGTGCTGTACTAATGGCTAGAATGATATATTGGTGGGGACTTTGGTTTAGAAATCAAGACTTCACTGAACAAAAGTTTTTTGTTGGCTGAGCATGGTTTGAAACAGAAGAGGATGGAAGAGGAGAACTTAATCAAACATGGTTTCCCTGACGGTCTCTCCTTTCCTGCCTGGGATTCCAGGCCTGCACAAAATTTCATTTCTACCAAGTCATTCTAGTGAAAAAAGATGTCTGTGTCTTGGTATTTGCCACATCATGGAGAAAAGAATACATGGAATGGGTTCCATGAGGAACCAGTTATTCCAACACCCCTCTCTTAGCTGCTAAACCATAGCCTTGAGTTTGCAAGAGTTGACCAGGGTCGCATAGACCAGATGGGCAGGATACAAATCAAATCAAATAAATGAATGAATGAATGAATAGAATAGAATAGAATAGAATAGAATAGAATAGAATAGAATAGAATAGAATAGAATAGAATATTTTGGAGATCACAGTCACCAAAAGTCAGAGGTACTTGATAGCACATAACAACAATGACACTTAGCTGCTACTTCCTCTGTGACAGCTCATGCTCACCACATCCTCTGCTTTGAAGCTGCCCAGCAGAAGCTCAGGCTCACAGCCTTATGTTTTTTTTCTGAATGGGTCATTCCACCCAAAGTGTCCACGTTTTTGCCAGCATGATGACCCAACATGAATCCAGACCATACCTTAAGGGCTGGTCAGGCAGCATACTTAATGCTGCCATTCCACTAAAAAATAGCCCTATTGGTGTATTCCAATTGTGTGGTGTTACTGAGTGTCATAGCAGAAGTTTACTTAGCCTTGTGTTGTGCATCATGTGCACAATATGATCCTTTAACAGGCTGCATCATAAATCACTTTGAATATTGGCATTCTTCCCTCTATTGTTCCTGAATGTTGTTCTTAATTGATCCTTTAACAGGCTGCATCATAAATCACTTTGAATATTCTTCCCTCTATTGTTCCTGAACGAAGACCTTTCTTAAGGTTGACTATTGATGCTCTCCTCTATATCTGCTCCCTGGATATACCCAAGTGCTCTGCAAATGGTGCTAGTGTTATACAGAAATGACTAATGTTGCTAGGGTGAGATGCATGCAAGCTATCAGATTTAATTGTGATGCCTGTATCTGCATTTGATCATTGGAACAGGGCTTGCCAGGACCACCTGGGTCTCGAGGAGAAAGGGTAAGTATTATTTGACATATTCTATATAATGTTTCTTGTCTACCTACAAGGGGCCTTCTCAGTAGCTGCTTCCAGGTCTTGGAATGCATTGCCCCCTTCCTTTTAAGGCACTCCTTTAAGCGGTAAGTGGATGTCTATGGCATATTGTATTTATGAAATTTAGATTTTTTTAAAAAAAATTAATGTTTTAAAATTTGTTTTCATCTTATTTTCAATCTTAATTAATTTTTAATTGTATTTTAAATGTTTAATTCAACTTGCAGTTTAAACTTATTATTGTACAGTTTTAATTGTTGCGAGCCACCTTGGATCACTATGGGTAGAAAAGCAGCATATAAATGATATAATGATCAACAAATAAATAAATAAATATAGGTTCAAGATGTGTACTAAAGATGCCATTGTCCCATGGAATATCTCTGCTTTAGGCAAATCTGGCATCTCTACATAGAGATAAAAATTACAGGCTGTGTTTGTATTAAGACGTTTGTGGAGTTTGGCTTGCCTTTTTTAGGACCCTTCCTCCCCCTACACCAATTATACTCCTTACTGAGATCACTGACACAAAGACTTGTTTTTGTTTTTGTTTTCCTTTGGTCAGCAAATCTAAAGAGTTGCTCCATGCCTCTGTTTCCTACTATGGTAGCCCAGTCCAATGTATGATCCACCAAGTTAAACTTAGTGCATCAACCATATTTTGTGACTTGTTGGTAAAACAGGATTTTATCAGGTTTCTGGAGACTTTTTGATAGTTAGCTGTTGGGTTAATTAGCCACAAACTGCATAGGCCCAGCCTGTATGTTCAGTTAGACAAAAAAAAAGAAAAAAAAAGCTGACCATGTTAAAAGCAGAAGCTCTTTCCTTTACTCAGTAAGATACCATACCTGAATTGCCTTCTCACAACAACAACTGAGATGATTCACAATTCACCACAAATGAAGTTATAGCCTCTTCGACACCTAGCACATTCGTACTTATTCTGATTTATTAAGCCAGGGTCATGACCCTCAATAGTAATGCAGAGAGTCCGAGATTGCAAGATGATTTGGTATAGGGGAGATGATGAAATTCTAGTGAGAATCACAGTCACACTGAATACTTTCCCAAAGGGCTTTGTTGTCTTTGTGAGTTTTCTGACACCATTTCCTCTGCTCTTCCTTCCATAGGGAGAGCCAGGGGAGCCTGGTGTACCTGGAAAGCCGGTAAGTATCCCTCTACTGAACTGGCAAAGCGGCATGGAAACAATTAATGGATATACTTCTTAGCTTATTCTACCTCTTCCCTCTCCTCTCCATATAGTTCCTGTAATGGACTGGGCTGAGAAGATATGATCTCTCATGCCCTCTACAACTCTGTTTCATTTTCTTATCTGTTATTGTCATCCAGTCACTGCACAAGACACTCTACGTAAATCATATATCTTCCCATGCACTCCATACATGGGAATGGTCATCTAGCATCCCTTGAATTTCACCCCCACAAAAACCATCTTGACAGTTGCTTGGATAGAAGACTGTCCAATGCCCAATGTATCTCTCCTATCATCACCTTCCTCTTAACCATCTTGACTAGTTGGTGGGCAGATGGAGAACTCTGCTCTCTTTCTGTGTGAACAGAGAAGACCCTGACTTCACCAACCCTGTAACTGTAGGAAGACTACCTTATAGAGTGGTGTCCACGTGGTATTGTTAAGAAATGCTCTGAAAAGGTCACAGCAGTTTTTCCCCCTCCCTGTGTGTCTCTTCCAGGCTTCTAGTGTCTCAGGGATCAAAGGAGACAAGGTAACTAATTTGCTTCTCAGTAGATGTTTATAGAATTAGCAATGTAGAATAATATTAATCCTGTCTATTACTATACATTTTCTTAGATTGCAAGAATATAGTTCTCAAGCCAATTCTGGCTACCCTTTTCCTGGTGGTTTAATTCCTAGTTTTAAGAGCACCTCAGGAAGCAGCTCTGTGCATCTTTCATTAATAGGATATGAAGAAGAAGAATGCTGGCATATGAGGGGGAGTGCTGAAGCTACAATGTGCCATTTTTTTTCCTTTTCAGGGGGAGTTGGGCCCTCCAGGACCCGAGGGACCACCTGGACCAAGAGGAGATCCTGGGAACAAAGGGGAACGTGTGAGTTTCCTCACTGCTCAAGATTATTATTTTGATTTATTTTTATTAATTTTTCAAGGGGATAGGGGTTGAGGTAGAAATAGAGGGACAAGAAAAAAACAAAGGGGGAGAGTAGGAAAGGGTAAAATTTCAGAGAGTGGAAAGGTATTCTTACATCCACTTATACAGTTATATTAAAAAGGGAAATCATACAAAGAGAAAAACAATATAGTGATTTTCCAGAATATCTATAGTTACTAATCTTCCATTTCCTTGGACCTTCCCTTTCTTTTTCTTTTGATCTTTAAACTTACTAATTTTGCAAGTTTGATATTATTCTGCCAAATTAATGTCCACTGCTCCAAATCAATATTATAACCAATATTTTGTGCCCATTTTTTCATTTATTCTTTCACCACAACGTATCCTCTTATATTTTACATTTCCATCATTTGGCCATCTATAGAACTTATCTATATTTTCTTGTTCTGCCAAGTTTATATCCATTGCTCTAAATCAATATTCTAAGCCATATTTTGTGCCCATTTTATCATGTAATCTTTCATTCCCTCATCTTCCATCTTATCAACCATTTATATTTACTTAAATCTGATCCCAAAAAGTTTCATCTTTACATCCAATACTCTACATTAATATTATAACCAATATTTTGTGCTCATTTTATCATGTATTCTTTCATTCCTTCATCTTGCATCTTATTGACCATTTATATTTAATTAAATCTGCTCCCAAAAAGCTTCATCAACTCCACATACTGTCTCCTTTTTTGTCCCATCTGCCACGACATATGTCCCATCATCTCCATTCCCCTCCCTTTCATAATAATGTTCACTGTTTGCCGCACTTGTACTACTGACATCTCCATAAGAGGGGTTAATAAATTAGCTGTCAGTTGCACTGTATCTTAAAGTTTTTCCAATGAAGACTTCTGAGGTCTAGAAGTAAAATTGTCTCCCTCTGTTTATAGTTTTAGTAAGTTGATTTTGTCTTGTTTTGTTTCCTGTCATAGTTCTTCCGACTCGGCCTTGGGACCCTTCGGCTTTTTCTCCATCTTCACTGTAGATTTCATTTGTATCCCTAAATCTTTAATTTGTTCAGATAGCTGTTCCATCTCTCCTTTTATCTGTTGTAATCCAATAAATAACGTGTCTTGAGTATTCTCTTGCCAGTCCTTGAGAGCGTCTTGTTCCATGATTCAAGTAGATACTGTCTCTTTGCAAGTATTATCTGTTTTTTTTCCAGCAGGTGGTAAACACAATAGATGCTCACAAGGGCAGCTTGTGTCTTGTGGCAAATAACATTTACAGTTCAATCTTTCCAGCCTTTGTAATTACCAGTTGTTGGCAGGGGGTAGGGGTTTTCCTCCATTTAAAATGTTTTCCCAAGACTTTTCCTGGCTGCTTCACAGATTTAAGTCCATCAACTTTATAATTCATTAGTTTATGGTTATATTGTCCTGCTGAAGTGGGTCTTATTACAGCAATACAAACAAAATCGTTTTCTCCCCTCTCCCTTTCTTTTCTTTTCTTCCTTCTTTCCTTTCTCCCAATCAAGCCTCAAATGGAGAGGGGGGAGTGCTCACCCGTCTTGCCAGATCTAGTCTAGTTCCTCAAATGGAGAGGGGGGAGTGCTCACCCATCTCGCCAGATCTAGTTTAGTTATCTAGTCACTTTCTATGACAGATTACACCTGCTCTCTTCATTATTTAGGTCCTTAGTTCCATATGTAAAACAAACAACTTACTATGGTACAAGTTCTGGTCACAAATATTTCCGAAAATCCTTCTCTGCTTTTCCACACTCTGCCAGGGGCATCCACAGCTTTCTGCCAAGATGGCTCCCACTCAATTTCTGCACTCAGATGAGTCTTCAAAGAGAAGGAAAAAAACCCAGGCTTTCACTCACTCAGATGAGTCTTCAAAGAGAAGGAAAGAACCAGACTTCCATTGGTACTTCTCCCTTCTCAGTTGATTCTGCTGCTTCAGACTTTCACTTCTCCTAGAGAAAATCCTCTCCCTCCCCCCCCAAGTTTTGTGGGGGTTGAAATTGAGTGGTCTCCAGACTTTCACTTCTCCTAGAGAAAATCCTCCCCACCCCAAGGTTTGTGGGGTTGAAATTGGGCGGTCTCCGTTAGTTTCAGGAGCCCTCCTGAAATGTGAACAGTTTCGCTGCGATGAAGCCCTGCCTCCCTCACTGCTAGACTTTCACTTCTCCTAGAGAAAATCCTCCCCACCCCAAGGTTTGTGGGGTTGAAATTGGGCGGTCTCCGTTAGTTTCAGGAGCCCTCCTGAAATGTGAACAGTTTCGCTGCGATGAAGCCCTGCCTCCCTCACTGCTAAAGATTATTCAGGAGCCCTCCTGAAACCTGACCAGTCTCGCTGCGATGAAGCCTCGCCTCCCTCACTGCTCAAGATTATTATGTGATGTCTTAGCCCATATTTTATTACAAAAATTCATCAGACAGAACTTTTTTCTTTCTGGTTGGTGATCTGGATTTCAGCCAAAACTGAGATGCTCACTTCTGGATATTTTGTCAGAGGCTGTTTCTATTTTCAAGCAGGAACCAATCTAGTCACCTACTAGGAGAGCAAAGGCTGGGATCAAGATATAGAAGGCCAGACAACCTGCTATTTCTTCTGGAGACTCTAGCAGTGCAGGGCAAGAGGGTGTCTCTATTCTGATGGAATGGAGATCCCCTGGCTGTCTCTTCTGTTGCCTGAACATCAGCCTGCCTTGCCTTTGTTCTGCAAGACCTTTTAACAGGGCCTATTTCAAGACCCTGGACTCTCGGTTGACTCTTTGATAATGGTTCAGCACTTCCAGCTGTGCAAGATTTCACTGTACGTTGAAGCTCTGCTTTTGTGCTGATATGGCAAATCCATGTTTTGTTTAAGAACTCCACTTTATTTCGTGGGAGAACAAACTCTGGAAAATCTTCAAAATGGTAGTGAAGCTGATCTTAGAGTAAAGATGTGGTATCCACATCCTTGAGAAGGGCTTTATAGTTTTGTTTTACTTCTTAGGGATCTCCTGGATTCAGTGCACCTGGCCCACCTGGTCCAAAAGGAGAGCAAGGGGACAGAGTGAGTCCTTTTTTCATTTCCTAGATCTACAAGCAAACAGAGAGATGTGTACTCCAAAAACTGTATTTATCGGAGGAGGAGAAGGGCTCTGCTGTGCCTGAGCTGACTGGTAGGAGGCCATGAGCCTGCCTTAGCAGACTCAGTCACTGAAATGCTTCTAATGTCTTAACTCCAGCCTGAGCAAATTGGCAAGTTGCCTTTTGCACACAAATATAAGCCAAGTCTCTGAGACCAGATAATTGTTAAGGGGATGGATTTAGGACCATGGATTCTTCCAGCCTATGGGCAAGAAGGGTTTTTCCTTCCACTCCCACCATGCCCCGTGCTGTTCCTTAGTCCTGACTTGAAAGAAGCTCCAGAAGAGCTTCAACTCTGTAAGAGCCTCTGCTTTCGTAACATCACCCCAGAACCATATTAAGTATCTGTCTTTTCTCTCTTCACAGGGGATTGTTGGCCTGACTGGCAAAACTGGCCCAAAGGTAACAGTATTAGATTAAGCGAACAAAAGGATTTGTGGGGTTGTGGGCTTGCTTGGCTGGTGTGATATGAAATGATATTGCAGGGGTGCGATAGACAGTGTTCAGTGGAAGACACACCTCATCCTGCAGCAATCTGGCTTTAGGCAGACCGCCACAGGATGCTAATCATGTTCATGATTACATGTGACTCTGATTCAGTTCAGCATCACAACAACCTGGAAAGTCTCAAACATTTGCAATATAGGAATGGCATTTCTATTTTTTTATAATTGCATATAGATTCTCCAGGGAGGTGGGTTTTCTCTCCTATTTTATTATCAAAACAAGCCCAGGAAGTAAGTTAGCTGAGAGGTAGTGGTAACCCAAAGTTGGCCTGTGAGGAATTTGAACCCAGAGCTGCACAGGGAGAAGCCAACATGTTATCCAGTATATCATACTACCTCCCTGGTAGTTCTGTACAGCTTGATCAGGGATGGGAGAAGGAACACTTCCTAGCTTTCCTAGAGATATGCACCTGCCAGTGGGTGTTAGTCAGGAGTTTTGGCCTGCTCCATGATCCAAGATCATTTGGGCTGATATCATGTTCTTTTCCCTGTGCTATGGTTGTTTTGCTTAGGGTGACCCAGGAGATGCAGGGGAGAGGGGAGAGCCAGGAAGACCAGGACCTGCTGGACCGATTGGCCCACGAGGAAAAGAGGTGAGAGAATGAGATGAGTCTGATCCTTTCATATTAGTCTTTTAGCCCTGAATCCCATCTTAACTCAAATTGTCATCTGGAGCCTGACTTCTTAATTCCCTTGCTGTGTATCTGTACGGTATTAATACTACTAGTACAATCCAAGTTACAGCCCAGTGAACGTGGGCCCATCAGCTAGAGACCAGTGTTCTAGGCAACATGGAAGTGGCATTGTAAGTGCAGTCTTGCTGGTGGTAGAACATTTGCCAAGAAATATTGGAAGTGTGCTTGAAGATGGGAATATGTGGCATGAAGCTGGACTGCAATTCTCATCATTTTCACCATTGCCCACTGTGGCTAAGATCAATAAGAGCAGCAGTCTAACAACATCTGGAGGAGGCCGACTTGGTTTCCATTATGGCGATATTGGCAGTGCTGTGTGGACTTGATTTCCATGGAGAACTTGAAGAAATGCCATGGCAAGATTAGCACATAATTTCTGGGAGTCAGGTTTCTCCCTTCTTGTAGTGATCAAAAACACCAGGGTGCTGCCTCTCCCTCGATTTAGGTTGGAAGAGAGTGTTCCTTCACCCCTGACTTAAGTCTTTCTTCTGCAGAGTCTGTTTGTTTTTCATGAGTATATGTGCAACAGTTGGATGGCCATCTGCCAGAGATGCTGTAGTTGTACCCTGCATTATCCGGTAGCTCCTGCCGTGAGCTAGAGATTGGGCTAGATAATCCCAGTTTTTAAAAAAACAACAACAACAGATTATATGATTCCATAGGACAGAAGATCCTGCCGTGAGCTAGAGATTGGGCTAGATGATCCCAGTTTTTAAAACAACAACAACAACAACAGATTATATGATTCCATAGGACAGAAGAGCCAAGGATGCATCACATATAGACTGCGTTTGAGATTTTGATCTGTGCACGGAGGGACAAGGATATTGTTTTAACAAGCAAGTTCACTTTTGGTACTGAGACATGAATCATAGGACCTGTTGAGATTGTTTGATCATCAGTAACTTGACTGCTGTGAACAATTTATTTTTAGGGTGAAAGAGGTGACAAAGGAGAAGAAGGAACCCCAGTAAGTGATTATTATGTACTCTGGCACGCTTCATTTTTTGTCATTAAAAAAATTTACTTTGTTTATTTTTTTATTTGACTTAGTCCTGCAATATTCTATTTCTTTCTCCTCCTTTTCCAAGGGTGAACCAGGTCCATCTGGCAGACCAGGAGAGAGAGGTCTACGGGTAAGTGTGGTGGACAACACTGTCCCAGTTATCACACATGGAGGGAGAACAGAAATGGCTGGAGACAGTCATGAGCTGTGCTCAGTGACTTAAGCTAATACGGGTGGCTTGGTTTGTAGCACTGTTGCCATCTCCTTGTGTACAACTCTCTTATACCGAAGGCTTCAGAAGTGTAGATATTGTATCATACAGCATTCCTCCTCCCAGCTGCCCCTGAGTATCTATTTTCATCAGCAGTGGTGACTGGCCATACGTGCAGGTGATGGGGTTGTTGGGTAGAAGTTACAGCATTCCTCCTCCCAGCTGCCCCTGAATAGCTATTTTCATCAGCAGTGGTGATGAGGTTGATGGCTAGAAGTTTTATAACCTACTGATTACAAATGTGAAGACTCTTAGCTCTCCAGGGATTAAAAACCTTGTATTCCATAGCTCTCTTACCTTTAAGAGCCTTATGTTTTCTCATTGTATTGTCTGGATATTCCATCTAGTCCCACCCATTTAGTCAAGGGATTGGGGCCCCTACCTTTCCTTGAGTATAACTAGGAAAATGACTGCATGTTTATATTCTGTGTTGTTGTTGTTGTTGTCTAATATCACAGGGTCTCCCAGGAATCCGAGGGCCCCCTGGCGAGAAGGGAGACCAAGGGGACCCAGGTGAAGATGGAAGAAACGTGAGTGTACCTTTCCTTAGAATCTATTGCTGTACCTGGCTACCTATCTTTGTCTTCACCATATTTCTTCTTCCTTTTACAGGGGAGTCCTGGAGCACCAGGGCTGAAGGGTGACCGAGGGGATCCCGTAAGTAGTGTTGCCATCCCGGCTGCTTATTTCAGAGTCCTTAAAAAAAAAAACAACTAAATAGTCCTTCAGGTAGTCTATGGGCTTGGCTACATGGCTCAATTGGAGTGGGCTGGATCAGGCTAAATAGAGCTGCTTAAGGGTACAGAGTGGTCTGGTATGCCATTTGTTGCAGTCCTTCCATTTACATAGCATACACACCTCAAATGACCCTATCTGGCCTACCTCCCTTAAGAAAACAACACCCCCCTCCTTGCTCCCTCCTCTTCCTCCTCTTTTCTGGGAGGAAGCATTCAATTTAATTTTTTTCCTTAGAGGTGTAGTGCATAGAGTTTAAAAAAAAACTTTTGCTTCCTTCCTCTGCTCCAAGGAAGGGCAGAATAATTTTTAAATTTCCCAGTATCATGAAGTGATAAATTGTCTTCTTAAGCCACTTAACGATGTTGTGAAATTGGAAGTAGAAGGGAAATTTGAAGCTGTAAGATCTGCTTTGGTTTGATTCCAGCAATCACACATGCTGGAAATAAACCAAAACAGGGTGATCCCATCCACACCTAAAGCAAGCAGCACACCTAGAAAACAGTACCCCCCCCAACAAGGATCCAGAAAGGTGCAGGTAGAAACACTCTGGAGGGAAGCTGGTTTGTGCTGGCACTTGCATCATCTGGTCATCAGAAAAAAAGCAAATCATCCTGTCCCCGCAGTGTGCCCAACAGCAGGACAAATGCCCATGTGTTCACTGCCAAAGTCTGCCTGTTGAGACAAGGGCCAGAAATAGGGTTGCTCTAGCTTAGAATGGGTTAGCACGTAAGTACTTGTACTACTGAATGAGGCTACAAAAGACATCCTATTTTACTGCAGACCAGCAAGGCAGGAATATGCAAACCCTTCTGGCCACTTCCAGTTTTATTTTGTTTTTAGAGTGCTGTCCCCTGGTGGGATATTGACTGGCTTCTTGATCCATTGAGCTTGTGCACTCTGGCTTTGTGCACTGATCCTTCTCTACACTACACTTATTTATTTATATCCCGCCCATCTGGTATATTCTACCACTCTGGGTGGCTAACAACAAACATATATACAATTAAAATAATATAAATCCATAGACATCATTGGTAACAGAAAATTCCAAAAGATGATAAATGATAGATCCTTGTATCTGCAGTGGCAAATGGAGTCTCTTTTGCTGCAGTTCTGTGGCCTGCCAGTTTCCTTGCTCCCTTCTGTTCCCTGGCATATACACGGTGTCACTTTTTAATGCCATCAGTTGCTTTAGATATCAAGGGTTCTTGGCACTGTGGGTGGAACTGCTGTACCCGTTATCCTTATTATATTAATATAAGGAAATTGTGCAAGAATATGTTTAATATTACTTGTTCTGATTCTGGGGGAAAGGCTATTGTCTGAAGGTTTACAATCTTCAGCTTTGCTGAAACCTAGGAGGTATAAGTTTGGTTACTGCCTCGAACAGTATGAAGAATCTGAGGCCACCCTGAGGGGACCACAGCTCCCATCATCTCTGATCACTGTCACTGTTGGCTATTGCTGATGGGAGCTGCCTACCTTAACTTCTGTCATTGAAGAAAGGCAGAATATAAATTAATAAATCAACCCACCAATAAAACAGGAATGAAAGGCTTAGCTAGCCATTTCTGAGCACCTGACTTTCCTAGCATTATGCTCTGAGGTAAACCGGAACTTCTCACATACCTTGTGGAGATATTGCATGTGTATCTTACAGAGTGTGCATCAGGGATTGCCCTTCTTTTTCCTAATGAGCATGAGTTATTTTATGTGCTCTTGCATGAGACATGTCCTGGACACTGTGAAAATACTATGTTTTAATCTTTGTTCTTCTGATTTCCTCCCCTGATGCAGGGTCAGCCAGGACCTCCAGGCCAGGCAGTAAGTCCAATGTTTTCCCTCCAAACCCCAGTAGCTTGTTTTGACTCTGTAGGTCATTTCATGTGTACCTTCCTTTTTCTACTCTGTAGGTTGGTGGGGGAGCTGCTGGAGCAGGACAAAAAGGTGAAAAGGTAATCCCGCTATGAGATTCCAGCATCCTCTTGGTGATAGTCATTGAAATACTGTTGCTGCTTATCTACAGATATGTTTGGGGGGATGAAAGTGCACAAAAGCACTCTCAGTGAAAAGATTATTTGCTTGGTGCCCAAACTAAATCTTACATTAAATATGCATTTGCATTTAATGTACAGGATGTTGTTTTTAAGAAAATTGCATTGGGTGGGGGAGGGATAGTATAACTACAACTGTCATAGCATATACAGAGAGGGATATTCAACCCTTTCTTCCTCTCCTGTGGTCTTAAACAAAGTGCCTCTTCTGTTATTTCCATAGGATAGGAAATCCACACTGACATTCTTCCTATAGTCATGCTAGATCACATTAAATGCCTGTCTAGTATCCTGTCTTCCACAATAGCCAATTAAACACCTATTAGAACACATACACCCAGTGGTATGTGAGGGCAAAAGCCATCTCAGTGTTTTCCCAGCAAATGATATACAGAATCATAGTGCTTCCCTGTGCAGCCATCATGATTAGTACACATTTGTAGCAGGATTTGCCACTAATGTGTTTAATCCTATTTTCATGCTATCCAAATTGGCATCAATTAACTTCATCTTGTTATAGTATCTACATTTTGATTATGTGCTTTGTGAAGAAGCACTTCCTTTTGCCTGGCAGTTTCAGTGGACAACTCCAATTTCTAGTATCATTGAAGAGACAGAAAAGTTTTTCTCTGTCTACTTCTATCCATCACATGCATAGTTTTATAAACCTCTATCATATCCTGTACTTAGGAATAGGAATACTTTAATGGCAAGGGCTTGCTTAAACATCATGTCCAGACTGGTATTCAGCTAAATTGTTGCATATTTCAGAAATAGTTCTGCAGAGGTCCGTTCATAAAAAGTAAGACTCCAGTGTGTTTCTTGTCTGGCTGCATAATGGTTTCTATTGCAGGGGGAGCCTGGAGACCCTGGAGAAGATGGAATGAAAGGTGTGAAAGGAGAGGCTGGTGTGCCTGGCCTGCCAGGAGAACGGGTGAGTATAACACAACACTACAGTACATCTTTGCAGGCCCACTAAGGAACCCAGAATCTCATCAAAGGAAGTGTCAGTCAGTGTGTCTGGAAGTGACTGATGTGGCCATGGTGGCCCACACTACATAACCTCAGGATTAGACTATTGTAATTCACTGTCTGTGGGGAAAACCTTTGAAGACACATAACCTCAGGATTAGACTATTGTAATTCACTATCTGTGGGGAAAACCCTTGAAGACAACTTAGAAGCTTCAACTGATACAGCATGTAGCACTTGGGCTACTGATAGGTGCCTCCTGCCACAAACCATGTGATGTATATTCTGCACCAGCTTTATTGACTGCCAGTTGCTTTCTGAGTATAATTCAAGATGCTGGTTATTCCTTTTAAAGCCCCACGTGGCTTTGGACTCACCTCTGCCTGTTTGAGTTCTTGCATTAGTTGAAGCCATCCAGGATTGCCCTTTTAAGGGTACCAGCTGTCAAAGCTGCCTGACCTGGATGGGTCAGGAAAAGATCCTTCCATGTTGTGGCACTTATGCTCTGGAACTCTCTTCCTGACTATCTGGAAAACATGGAATCTTTGCAGGGATTCAGGAGAGGATGTAAGATAGATTGAACTGTTTCAACCACTTCTTGGTGATCTATTTTTCACTCTTGAGATTGCTGTGTTTGTTATATGGTTTAACATATTTAATATCTCATGTCATGTTGTATGCTATTCTGGATGCCCTTGGACAAAACAATAATATAGAAATTGAGATAATAAATAATGCTAAGTATAGAATAGAACACCAGCTGACGTTGGGGAAAAATAGAAATGGAGTAACAGTGAATAGATTTTGAGGTCTGAATGCCATTGGCTCATACAGTGTTTTCTATTTGTTAATGTTTCTGTACATGCCTTTGGGTAACCTATGGAAAGTAGCTAATGAAAGCAACAGGTCATTACTTTTGTGGTGCCTTGGGTTGGGTGATGCATGGGTACTGGTGGATCCTTTCAACAGAAGGTGTTTAATTAGTGAAAAGTGATTAGGAGTAAGAGGGCCTTTGGAGGAAAGAGTAATTATCATGTTATAAGTGAGAAAAAGTGAAAAGGGGCTTCAGATAGGAAAGTCAGTTCTTCTATGTGTACAAGACATGTATAGATAGTAGGAAGATCAGCTGGCCGGAACATGGTTCAGGAATGTCTGCATAGGTTGAAGGAGTCACCCCTCCATGAGATCTCTTTTTTTTGCCTCTTCCAGGGAATTGAAGGATCCAGAGGTCTCCCTGGAGTTCGTGTGAGTCTTTTTCTGTCTGTCTTGAAAGGGAACAAAATATTCTGCTTTGTATTTGCTTCTCAGAAAACGTCATGTCCAGTTGCACAGCCATTTATGAAGCAGATAAATAATCATGTGCTTCATTTTGCAGGGTGACCCTGGGGATCGAGGACCAGTGGGAGAGAAGGTAAGAGAGCAATCACTCTAAGCCACATGTCAGAGGAGGTGATGGACAGAAAAGCAATGCAGTAATGAGAACCATGGAAACCTATGAAACGTATATTTTATGTTTATTTTATGATTTCCCCCATGTAAATGCAATGTGTATTATGTTATACAGAATATGGCATTAAAGGGAACCTGGGCCTTTTTCATTAAGCCTGGAAATTAGTCCTCTTTGTTCTGGATGAGTGCTTAGCATTACCACTTGTCCCTCCGTACATAACGTTGGTGGTGCTTCTCTTCTGTGGTCTCAGAGGGTCAGTAACGTCAGTGCGGAACATTGGGTTGGCTTGGGTTTTTAGCCCAGAGTACAGAAATGTGGCCTATGATTCTCATACTTCCTTATTGTCACAATCCAGTGGTCCAGAATACTGGGTTCTCTCTTCTTCATTTTCTAACTCTCTTCCTCAGGGTGACCGAGGCCCTCCAGGACTGGATGGTCGGAATGGGATCGATGGAAAGCCCGGGCAAACAGGGCCTGCAGGCCAAAGGGTGAGTATGAAAAATACGACAGACAGGTAGAGCTGAACCACAGTGACGCTACTGTCAGGACAATCAGATCTTCTGCTACGGCTCCACATTGATTGAGATGGGCATCTGTTGTGGAGCTTTTTTGTAGCCTGTTACAGCAAAATCCATAATAAGAGAGTTGACTTGGCAGCAGGTGTTTCTTTTCTTTTCTTTCTTTCTTTCTTTTTTGGCCCCATATAATAAAATATCAAAAGTACCGCCGAAGCAGATTGGCTGATATTGGACTATATGGCCTTTTTCTTTCTTTCTTTTTTTTTTTTGGCCCCATATAATAAATTATCAAAAGTACCACCGAAGCAGATTGGCTGATATTGGAGTATATGGCTGTTGCTGAGCATAGTAAGTTACCAACTAGAGTAGGCCCTTTACATCTGTGGAACCTACAAAGGCATGGGTTCATCAGATCTGCACTGATTCAATGGGCCTATTTTAGTTGCAATTTACAATGCTAAACAACAGGATTTCAGCCTATATGTTTTGACTTTCATGGCCTTGTTCATTAGGCAAACAATTCTGCCTAATGAAGCATTCTTAGAAATGTGAAAGCATAGAAAGCTAAAAAAAACTTATTAATTAGATCTTCATTAGACTGATGGCATACAAAGCATTTGCTCAAGAAGAACACCTTTTCTTATGCAGTACTAACTATGCTTCCGATATGGTTGGCCTTTTCTAGTCCTGGCTTATGCATCTCTTCAACCATATGTGTAGAGAAAGTCAGAGGGGATGGATGCAATCACATTGTCGGCTGCAGATAAATAACATTGGTGTTAGTGTTGCTGGTTGTAGTGCTAGTCTCATAAGTATCTTAGCATCTTAGATGAAAAATAAAATAAATAAAAATGGCATAGTGTGTTATGGACACCAGATATTAGGGCCACTAAACACTAATGGGAACCTATTTTCCTTGTCCTCTGATATTCACAACGCCAGAATATTTCTTTCACCTGTTCTTGCTGCACCAGTTCTTGCCCTTTATAAATTGTTGCCCACCAAACCTCGACATAAAATAGCTTTTGCCTGCCTGGGGTAAGTTGCACAGACCTTTAGCTACTTTCATTCCACTCCTCAAAGATGCTGTTGGCTAACACCTATGCTGGAGTTGCAGGCATGGGTGAAAGAGTCCCTACATTCCTGAGTCTTGGCAATAACCATGTCGGAGCATTTAAGATTGCCTGGCCTTTTTTTTTTCAGAGCTTGAAAAAAGCAGTTCTATTCACTCTGAAGAATGAAAGCAACGTTTCCAAGTTCCAGAGCTGCAACTAGCAGTCTTTGCATTTGGGGGGAAATGTGGCACCACCTCCTACTCACTCCACCCTGAGATATGGTTACCGTAAGAAAAAGGAGGGGGGAAGTGTGGTGCCTCCTTGAAAGAAAATATGTATGCTTTCAGAAAAAGGGATGTGAAATGGTCAGGGGTGTGTGTGTTGCCATTTATTTTCCTAATACTTCCTAGTAGACTCACCTCTTGATAATTGGTCCCTCTACATTTTGGTGCTGTAGAACAAATCTCTGGTTGCCCCATCTATTTATAGCCCTGCCAAGGTCCACCTTTGTTGGCCCACTTTATCCTGTCGGTTAACCACACAGTATTCTTCTGTGTAATACTCTTCCTGCAGGAATACTGTTTACTCTTTTGAAGCAAACGTGAGGTGCAGGGCAATGCTTTGCTCTTAATCATGTCCACTTTTACTTCTACTTTTTCTTCCCTAGGGTGACCCAGGAAAGCTGGGTGAACCTGGCCGAGATGTAAGTATGGAAATCCTACATCAGAGGGGATGGATTTTGAGTACCAAAATTCTTTCTTTTCCAATCAAAACATAAGACGTCATAGCAGATTATTGGCCTGTCGTTTGTTGTTGTCTCCATGTCCTTGGTTTATTGGAATGCAATTTCTGGGTGTTCCTCTTGATTAGAGCTTGAAACTGTTGTCGCTATTATTGACCATAACTCTCAGAATCCCATGGCCATACTAGTTGCAGAGTTCTGAAAATTGTAATAGAGAAGAATAGCTTTTCTGAGTTCTCTTCTGGAGAGAACTTCTTCAGTTCGGAGGCCTTCTGCTGACTGTGAAAACCCTGAATTGGATGAGGTCTATCTTTACCCCTCTTCCTTTAGCTGATCTCTAGGTGGTCTTCTTCCAGTCCAGTCACCCATCAGTCTTGCTTATGCTGAACAATATTTACCCCAGTGATTAGTGTGTGATATTACTAACTCTCAGTTAACCAAGTATTTTAGAGAAGAAGGTGTTGTCTTTTACTCTACATTGGAACCAGAACCTTCTTCCAACCAGCTTTTTGTTTTTTTAAGGGTCTGCCAGGTCTTCGTGGTGAACAGGGTCCTCCTGGACCAGTTGGTCCTCCTGGCCCGCCAGGGTTGCCGGTGAGTAATGTGGCAAAATGGGTGGTCTATATGCACAACCAACGACCCACACATGGTGGGGTTGGTACCTCTCATCCTCCTGCTTCATAAAAAGCTTTTGTTAAGATGTTGCTCTTCTTTTAAGCTCCACCTTGTACAGTATCTCTTATTTAATATGCTCTACTAGTTGGAATTTTGAATGTATAAAAAGGGATCTTTGGCACATAATCTAAAAAGACATGGCATGGAAGGGAAGACAGATTGGTAATAAAAAAGAAAAGGAGACATCACTGCTAATGTACTAGAATTTTTCAATTGATCAGTCGCATTGCAGTTGTAATGTTGTCAAACAGACAGCTGTTGATCTGTTGGTACAACCAGCTAGAACAGAATCTGTTCAGAGAGTCACATCTGGCCACATCTGGAGCATTGCAATGACTGGTCCAGCACATGCATAATACCTTGTGTGCCACTCCCTGTGGAGCCAGGAGTGCTGTCCAGAGACTCTGCTGGCGGGAATTCTATGCATCCATGGAGCCTGTTGTTCTGTCACTACAGGAAAGGTCCCTTACTTGGCTAACAGTCTACATTTCTTTTCCAGGGCAAGCCTGGTGAGGATGGCAAACCTGGTCTGAATGGGAAGAATGTGAGTGATGGGCCTGACCCCCATCCCCAGCTGCAGAAGTGGGGCTTCAGGCCTGACAGGCAAGGGATCATATTGGGGAGGGCAGAGTCAGGAACTAAAATTCTGCTAAGTTTTTATTAGACCTCATAGCAGAGTGGATGGACAGTTGGGGAATGTGTGTCTAAGCAGAATTTAGAAGACAAATTGTCATTTTATTTTCCAGGGTGAAGATGGGACACCTGGAGAAGATGGAAGGAAGGTAAGTGGCCCCTACATTCTCCCATTACGTTAGCCAGGGCTTCCTTCTGTTAACCAGTCGTGTTGGGAGCCAACAAATGACTGGGCTTGCCTTAGTATGAAACAAAAACTTACAATATGTGTAGTTGATTGTTTCTGACTGTGATGCCCAAGCCTCCCTAAGGAGCACTGAGCACTCGGTCAGAGATTTCGACAGGCCACTTACCTGCTGAGGCAATTCCCAAGACCTCAGCAGTGCGTAGCGTGAGCCCCTTGAACAAGTCTGGCCTTGAAAGAACACTTTACTTTTACCCAGTACTTTGCAAGTACTGTACAGACACATGGGCTTTGTGATTCCTTAGAACTCCTTTTCCAATCAGGTAGGACTCTTAAAGATAGCTAGTTTGTTTTTTTCTGAATTTTTGAAAATATGTCTATAAACCTTGGAGTTCTCATAGAACCGCTCACATCTCTCTTTACGCCAGTGTTATGGTTCCAGAGAGACCCACTCTCTGGAAATGAGTTCACAGTGTATAAAATAAAGAAGCAGCTCAATAATTTTAGTCTCTGGCTCTTCAAAAGGTACTTTAGCCCAAATATGTCAAGGGATTTAGATGAAGGAAGTGGATCCTTTGATGCAATCAGAATACAAAAGAAATATGGAAATCTAGGCTCGTTCCAGAAACATAGCTTGAGTACGAGACTATTGTTAATGCCTTTTGCATGGATTGTTAGGGAATACCATTCTGTTTTACCAGTACATAGGTTGTTTATTCATTCAAGAAAAACTTAGATAATCGCCTGGCAGATATGCTTTGATTGTATTCCTGCATTGAGCAGGGGGTTGGACTTGATGGCCTTGTAGGCCCCTTCCAACTTCACTTTTCTATTATTCTATTCTATTCTATGCCACCAGTAGGGGACAACGTCCCTTTTTAATGCACATCATGTCTCAGGCAACAGATCTGGAGGATGCACCATTTGCCTTGTGCATTTCCAGTGTGAGTAATGGAGCATTAATTCTGGTGCCCAAAATCTTAATGCTGTATTTTTCCTGCTGTTGATCTAATTGGAGTTGGAATGTGAATAAAGACTAAAGTGTGAGCTGTAGTGATCAGTTATCATCTCCATGAGACTTTTCCTCTGTTTTCTTCTTCCAGGGGGACAAAGGTGAAGCAGGCGCACCCGGCAGAAATGTACGTATGGCTAGAACCAAGTTGACCACACTTACAGGTTTATTCTCATTCATTCCTTCATCTAAAGTACCAGCAATAGCCAATATGTCCTTTTAACACTGAGATGACTGAATTACAGGCAGCACTCCAAATCATAAAGGTCCTGCCAGACAGAAAAATAATTATATATTCCGAGTGACAAATATATATTATAGTTTGCACATTGGGTAAATACATTTTCCTGAAAATACAAACTCATCCAATTGAACACTTCGGTAGTAACTATGCTAGAGACTGAAATAGTCCTGTGGCAACCACTGCCCATAAGTGTGGGGTCCGTGCTGAGCTATGGGCACGGTCAACTTCAGCTGCCCATTTCTTACCTGTGTGCCATTTTCCCTGCTAGAGATTATCTTCGCTAAAATGTCAACTGATTATATGGCATCTTCTGCCTGACCCTGGGGACTTCCTTCACTACATTTGTGCACATTTCGGAAGTTGCTTCCCCAGCATACTGCTCTCCTGTTATGTATGACCACAGCTTCCCGTGCCCCCATCCAGCCCTGCATCCTGTCTTGGGACAATGGGTGTTGTAGTGGTGAAGGGCACCAGTATGATGATGTCTTGTTATACAGGTCATGACTAAATTTGGGTAATAGAGTGTGGGAAGTATTACTATCACAGGCTACTGATGAAAGAGAGTTGTGTGTGTTGGGGGGGTTTACTAGGAAACAAGCATGGGGAGGCTATACTGTACTTCATTAGTATGGCAGATATAGAGAAAGTCACATTCGGTCCATGGCTTCTTTGCTTAAGAACTCTCTCAGGGAGTAGAGATAGGAAGGACCTCTGCCTTAGACTCTTCACAGCTACTGCCCGTAAGAGAAGACAGTAGGCTGGATGGATCCATTCTAAGGCAGCTCCTTATGGGCTGTATGTAACTCTGTTTGTTCTTTGTTGGCAGGGTCAGGAAGGCATTAAAGGAGAGCGAGGAGCCAGTGGGCCTCCTGGGCCTCCAGGACCTCCAGGTGTCCCTGGTGTACCTGGACTAGCCGGCCCACCAGGCCAGGTAGGTAGCCTCCTCCCAAAAAATAGATGTTTTGCAGAAAGATGCCACCTCCTTGGAAAATGAACTGACCGCAAATGTCTTAGGCCTGAATCAGGCAAAATGTAGTTTTGTGGAATCTACCTTGTTTTCCTTTGACAGGATGCCAAGATCAATCAACTGGATTTGGGTGCAAAATAATGATTCAAGACAACAGAGACAGATTTTTTGGACTAGGTTTCTCTGAGCACAGGGTTGCTTAGGAATTTAATTACAAAAACTAGAATTCATTCTTTCATACACACATCTATTCCCATCCAACCTTAAGTGTTCTTGATTTTAGCAGTCTAATTTAGAAAAAAAAATTACTGTATTTTTCCACGTATAAGATGCTATTTTTTTACCTAAAATCATTACACTAAAAATTGAGGGGCATTTTATATACGGAAGTAAGCTGAGAACACAGAGAGAATAAAACTGCCCATACTTTGTAAACAGGCTTCCTTCAATCACGAGGCTTAGCTTCCTACAGTCAGGAGACTCAGCTTCCTCCAGTCACAAGCCTTATGGAACTGATGCCATCTAATGCGGAACAAACCAGTTGGAACACACCTCATTGGAGGTGGAGCCTGTAGGCTCAGATGCAACAGGGACTCGTAATGTCCAAGCGTTCTGAGCCCAGCGACTGAATACTCAAAACTATGTTTTCTTAATTTGGGGGTTAGAAAAGTGTGTGGGATATCTTATAAGCATGGGTGTCTTATAAACAAAATACGGTAAGCCTTTTTGATCTCTATATTTAAGTCATTGGCCTAAATGCTGTTAGTTACTCAAACAGCTTAAATTTTGGAAGCAGTTTGCCAGAAGTTATGAAGTCCGCATGGACAGTATCTGTTGCATGCTTAATTGTGCAGTTCAGTACACAATAGAAGTCACACCTTTGTGTTACATTGGCAATAGAATTTTGGCCAATGGGAGTCTGAAGCTTTTACTGATCTATTGCAAATCACCTGGTTATCTAGCTGGAGATCCCAATTTCCTTCCACTCACCCTGTCTAGGGCATGAAGACCACGTTTCAGCCCTGGACATAGACTTGCACAATGCTGGATTGAGACTGAATTCTTTACACCAAGGGTGAACAAAGCATGGCCCTGGGGTCATGTAAAGCCTTCCAAGGCTATTTTTGCAGTCCATAGCAGTAGCAGTCTCCTCTCCAATGAAAAGTTTTCCAAATACAAAAAGTGAATCTGTGAGACTTCCAGGAACAGTGATTGGCTTTTTCAATAGGTTGCAGAGCTATATATGCAGTGCTTAACCACAATTTAAAAATGGATATCCGTTTGTCATTTTCCTTGGTTTTGTTCTTTTGTTTTGCATTTCTGGTTGACTTTGCAGAAGATCCTAGAGATGGCAAATTGTACCCTGGGAATCCACTGAACTTGCCAATCCCTGCTTTATGGGGTTTTCTGAAAGCAAGTTTGGTTATATGAAATAGGACTTAATTCTGAATAGTGGGCTGTAAAGTAAAATCAATGCTAGAAGTGTTTTGCGGTGAAGGCCTTGTCTGAAATGCCCATAGGAAACCTTATTCTGAGAGTCCTAGCAGAGATTACATAGTTAAGGACTGACTAAACGTCTTCCGTCCTTCCTTAATGCCCTTCTTCCATCTTTCATTTTTCAGAGCCTGCCAGGCCTCCCTGGGAATTCCGGACCAAAAGTAAGCACACTTGATTTGCATTAAATTTGGTCTAATAAAAGGTCATTAATGCAGTGCACCTCTAACCTCTATCTACATTTTTAGCAGTTATGTTCTCCCAATTTCTTAGTCAGATATATGAGATCCTTGGACAAAGGTGGGGCTTTGTTGTTTTGAAACAGGAAAGGGAAAAGGTCCTCCTAGGGACTTGGGATGAACTTGCGGGCAGAAAATAAATCAGGTGCCTGTGGTAGAAGTCTACAGAGAAATGGATATCTTGGGATTGTTACCTAACCATTCCCACATCCCGTGGTTACAGAAGATGTGTCATGTGGCAGAATTCTTCTTATATAGCTCCAGTGCCTGGGATCCACCATGCCCTTTATATAGAGTCAAGGACCCACAGTATATTTTGTCTAGCATCAAACCTGATATTTCCCCCCCTTACAATGCTATACACAGATTTAGGGGTTAATGAATATTGATGTAATCGTTCTGTTTTAGGGAGACAGAGGGGAGTCTGGACCCAAAGGAGAGCAGGTAGGTGTCACTCTCCTCTACTAAGCAGTTCACAATATTAAATCCATTTTTCTTTTGGGTGTTGGAGCCCTTTATGGAGGGGTCACTTGTCAGACGGGATTTGGCCTTGAAAGCCCTGCTGTATTATACTGTAACTGGATGTAGTCTGTTTTGGTGATCTGTTTCACCTCCATACAGATATTGTACAGTCTACCCAGAGCCACAGTGGACTTTATTAAAATCGAAAGCATACTGGAAATAGGGCTGATTATAACTCACCAGCAAATCAAGCATGTGATGGGTTATGTGGTGCATGCAAAAATAGTGTATAAGGTAATGGAATGAATCAGTTATGTTATTGACATACGTAGTCCACTGGAGGCCTTTAAACAGATGTAATGTGGAACAGCAGAGATGCTCAACCCTATTTTATCTCTGTGATCTAAGGTGTTCTGGAGTCCAGTGGATTTTTGAATCCAAAAAGTTGTTGGAAAGAAGTGCAAAAATCCTGGTAATTAAACTTTTCTAGAGAGAACTGCTATGAGTGACTTCCTTGCATTATGCATGGTGCCCCTAGCCCCACATATTCATGGAATCCAGTATCTATCCAATATGCCTTTTCCACCTCTTTCCCACCTATTTGCCAGAAATTACTCCTGTACAAAGTATGGTGCAACCAAGGTGTGCTCTCTGTACCACTTCGGCTTCCTTAAGTACACGATAGCCTTATCCTGTTTTTAATTTCCATCACTAGGGAAGGCCTGGGGAGCCTGGGATGCGAGGCGACCCTGGGACAGCATCGGTAAGTTACCTGGAACATATTTGTTTTCATCTTTGAAAACCTGGTAGGGGAAGATGACACAGGCTGGTACTCTGGAGGATGATAACGGTTAGCATAGGCTACCTACATCTAAAAAAGCAGCTAGGCTTGAGTTGTGGGAAGATACAAAGCAGTGCTTGTGTTTTTTGCACATGGCACATTGTACCGGGAATTGCATTGGTTAATCTGAACAGAACTGGTGGATTGTTGTTCCTGCCTGTGAGAAGAAAGCCGATGCAGGTAGGTTTCCAGCTGCACAGTTTAATGACATTGTTGTGCCTCCCTGTTGCCACAATTGGGTCACAACAAAGCAAAAGCAAAGTGTGCTGCTTATATACCGCCCCATAGCACTTCAAGCACTCTCTGGGCGGTTTGCAAGTTAATTATGCAGGCTACACATTGCCTCCCCAGCAAGCTGGGTACTCATTTTACCGACCTCGGAAGGATAGAAGGCTGAGTCAACCTTGAGCCGGCTACCTGGGATTGAACCCCAGGTCGGGAACACAGTTTTTGCTGCAGTACAGCCGTTTAACCACTGCGCCACCAGGCTTTTGTTCTGGTATGTCATGTGGAGAACAAGCTCACGTACACAACAATCCCATCTGCAACAGAAACTGAGGATATTATGCAGCACTGTTATGCTTAAAGTTTATTTCCAGTGGTATTTTTGCATTTCTAGCTTATGGTTTTTCTCCTTTTTTCTAGAATGTTGAACGTGCCCTAGAAGCCTATGGTATTAAGGTATGAATTAACAGTCGTGTCTTTTACCTTATCTGAGGTTACATTTGTCTCTGTATATCATCTAGGAGTCTTGGTTTTGACCAGTGTCCAGACAAAGGAGAAAAACATATTGGTATTAGGATTTTACTCCCACAGTGGACTAACACAGAGATACCTTGAGAACTTTGTTTTCTTATAGGAACCTATCAGAGCCTTAAGATAGTTTTGGAGGATCTCCTCTTTGCTGTGAGAAACAGGGAAAGCAGGCATAAAAAAAGTCTTTTCCCAGTGATACTTAAAAGATGGAATAACCTTCCAAAGGAAGCAGGCCAGTTTTCTTTCTTCCCCCTCCCCTCCCCCAGTTTTTAGGTGAAAAGTTCAGATATACCTGTTTCAACATACTTTTGAGTTTTCTTGTTAGTTGCCTTAGAACACTTTATTACTTCTGTATCTGATGTCATCTTAGTTCTGCCCCTTCGCCTTCAACTGTTAGTTGCCTTCAGTCTAAATAATACATACTGGGGTGTATATATACCAAAATAAACTACGTCTGGTCTTATGTGGCTCATGATTCCCAGAGATTCTTGATATAAAAATCTCACTAGCATATACCTCTGCAATGAGACTACCAGGAGAGGGAAGGAGCTCCCATTCATTGTCCCTTTCTAAAAGCTTATTTCTGTTCCATACTTTGCATGTTAGCCATTTTTATTTTTATGCTAAAAGAAAGACAGATGAAAGCATAAATAGTAAACAGATGGAGGCTAGTGAATCTGACAATAAAGATGGAAGTGACCCCATTATTTTGTTTTACTATCCGTAGACATGAAAAGCAGCTTGGAAAAGTCATCTGGAAAGTACTTAGAGTAAAGGCCACATACATTCTTTCCCTGCCTTCTTTGAATGGAGGCTCAAATGGATTGGAATGGTGTTTGGTTTCATAAAACCTTGTCTTCTACCATGGTCAGGTTGTGCCTTTTTTGTTGCTTTAGAGAGCAAACTCACTGTTCCTCCCTCCCTCACAGATTTCCTTACTGCGTGAGATCACTGGTGCTTATGATGGGAGTTCTGATCAATTCCTTCCAGTTCCTGATCGCCGAAGAGGCCTGAAAGGTGAAAGAGGGGATCCAGGAGAAAGAGGACCTGCAGGCAAAGAGGTGAGGTTAAGTATGTACGCAGAAGGATTACAGTCCCAGGTCTTTCCTTTTAACTTTGACTGTGGAAGGTTCTGCATAGAAAAAGTGTAGAGGCAGATTTATGGAATCAGTACAATTAATCTCTTCTGGGTTGTGTCCTAAACACAATATAAGCAAACTTACATTTAACCTAGAACTGAAATAGCTATGGAAAAATTCATATTTGTTAAAGCATATTAATATGGGCTTTTTTTACAATAGTTTCTGAAAAAGTTCGCTAAAAATAGCACAGAAAACCAATTAACTGGTTTGCAAGCAAAACGTTTACATTTGGTGATAATTTGTTGGGTTTGTGCAGGGCTTTTCATATTGGACTCATAGGTTTTGCAATATTGAAACTCATGATTTGGAGAATAAAACACAGTATGGTAGCTTGAGGTTTTAAAATATCTCTGATTACTAAATTTGGGAAAATAACAGTAGGAGATAACCACTGTTAGGATTCTGTGTGTTAGTTGCAAAGTTCCTTGAAGAGTATTCTTTCATTTTGATTGGTAGTGGTAGGTTGGGTATCTGTCAAGAGAATCTATTAAAACTTTTGGGAGGAAATAAGAGTATGTGTGAATGGAATTGTGCTGATAGGTTTATGATCTGAACTGAAGTGTTGAGTTGAGTTAGGGTGGTCAAGAGTTTAAGAGAAAAAGGTGTGAAGGAGTTGGTTAAGATCTGTGTTCTTAGAAGAGGCTGAGAGAGCTGAAGTGTCTGTTTATGTGAAGAAACCTAATGTGTATTCTTGTTGGATTCTTGTGTAAAAGCAAGCATCCATACAGACATATACGATGATTGATGGATGGATAGATAGATATATTAATTAGATACAATGGTGCCCCCATAACGGGCACCCCGTTTAACGACGAACCCGCATAGCGATGGTTTTTTTGCGATCGTTTTTGCGATCGCATTGCAATGTTTTAAATGGTAAAACATCGCTTTGCGATGATCGGTAAGCTGTTTCACTTACTGATTTTCGCATAGTGATGTTTTCCTAACAGCTGATCGGCGGTTCCAAAATGGCCACCTGCTAAAAAAATGGCCGCCTGCAGTGTTTTCGCGCCCATTCCTCGCTTACTGGGCAGCGAAAATGGCGGCAGTATGGAGGATTTTCGCAGAACTGTGAGTTTTTTGCCCATAGGAACGCATTAAACGTGTTTTAATGCATTCCTATGGGCTTTTTAGTTCTGCATAGCGACGAATCCGTATAGCGACGATTTTTCCGGAACGGATTATCGTTGCTATGCGGGGCACCACTGTATATTGATGTAAGTGTGCCTGAAGTGTAGGAAGAGAAAAAAATGGGAGGAAAAAAAGAGCTTTTGGCAGACTGATGAAGAACCTTGACAGATTTTAACTCTGAATGTTTTATTCTTTTCTATGTTTTTGAAAATAAAATTCTTTTAGTTTTGAAACACTGCTTGTTTTTGAAAATAACTGTCACAAAATTTACCATGCATACTGCTGGCCAACTCTGGTACACATTGTCAAGATTGTGTTACAGCAATAACATAGGCTGCATATGAGTATTTCATCTAAAATGTTCTTTAAAAGGCAGGGGCAGTGTGCGTTCAGTTCTTAGCTGTGGCAGTGTTTTAACCGCAGTGAAAAGAGAACATTTGCTGTTTGCCTGGTGAAAAGAAAGGACCAAGGAAGGAGTCCTTATTTACAAGTTAAACAGCAACCCCAAACTTAGTGAAGGGTTTTGGGGATGGTTGATGGCAACACACACTGGGTAGAGAAATGTGGGTGAGCATCTTTGCTACGCAACCTCTGAGCACCCTTTGAAGAAAACGTATGTGAGGCCACCTGGATATGTCCTATGTTTCTTGCAGGGTCTCATGGGGTTTCCTGGAGAAAGAGGATCAAAGGGAGATAAGGGAGACCAAGGCCCACCAGGTCCACAAGGCCCAATAGGACGCGCCATTGGAGAGCGGGGACCAGAAGGACCACCTGGTCAGCCGGGGGAGCCTGGAAAGCCCGGGATCCCAGGAGTGCCCGGCCGTGCAGGAGAACTTGGAGAGGCTGGGAGGCCCGGAGAGAAGGTATTGTTGAAGACTGGGGGGAGGGGGGGAATAATTGTCATCTTTGCATAAACAGCAAAAGGATTCTCTTAAGTAATATCATTCGTGGAGGGTGTCTCAAATTTATGTCTTTGTTTGGAAACCTAAATATATTGACTTGAAAGACTATAAAGTTATCCTATGAAACAAAAAGAAAACAATGCATTAAGAACATATATAATAATTCCATGCTAAAACGGTTTCGGACCTCAATATCTGGCTGAGCGCTTCCTTCCAGTTAGGCCTGCCCATCCTATGCGATTGTTGCAGGCAGGGCGGCTGAGAGTTCTGACCCCGAGAGAGGCCCAGAAAACAACCGCTAGAAATGGGGCCTTCTCGGCGGTAGCCCCATGACTATAGAACTCTCTTCCACCCAAAGTCCGCCCAGCCCCTTCACTGGGCACATTAAAAAAGCTATTAAAAACCTGGCTATTTAGATAGACCTTCCCTGAACAAACTATACTCTGATAATATAAATTCTATCATACTGTCATATGTTTTTATTTTTCTACACTTTAAATTGTATTTATTGTATTATAATTTTATCCTCACTGCACTTTATGATTTTTTAATTTTCGCCCCTATGTATTTATGTTGCTATTTGCTATTTTGTTACTTTGTTATTTTTTGCTATTTGT